CGAGTATGTTTTTAATTGAGATTGATATCAAAGACATGTCAATGAGAGTTTTTAAATTATCCGATTAAAAAATACATCATACATATATGTATAGTGCGTTTGGTCACGATCTGTGTATTGTCTTTAAGAACTGTGGCTATGAAATGCAATTTAGTGACAAATTCTGTGAAATAAAGAAATTGAATATGCAAGGTACTTTCGCGAACAATGAGCTCCTTCTGATGAAAGTATTTCAATAGTTCCGAAAGAGTTTTATCGAAAGCAACTGCTTCGCATTCCACGATCCGTTTTCGTGCGTTACCTTGACCCTTAAATTGATGCTTGATTACTTCAATGAAGCATGAGACGTAATTCCTCTCTTGAGGTGATTGTTCCAAAAGTCACCCGCAACACCATTATCCTACATTCTTTATAAGATCGATTTGATTTGCGTGGGTAACCGTTTGCTCGTGGAATTTACCAGGAACCTCTTCATAGCTAGGAGGATGTCGGTTTGCCGCAATACTAATTTGGCGGCCACAAATTTGCGTAGGAAACATACCGGCAGGTTTTGGTTTGAATATAGGCTTTATTTTGATTTGTGCACGTTTTTCCTAATTCTTCGTAGTTTCTGTGAAAATTGAGGCAGCTCAATCATTATGGAGAGAAATTGAAATGTTATCTTGGGAAATTTCTTAAGTGAGGTTCACAACTTTTGATATGAAAGGAAGTAAGAATAAGAAAAATGTTTGAAATTTCTTACCAAGGCAATATCATGATACACAAATGGTGTGCTATTGACTGAACTTAACTCAACCCACCGTGTACCTAATATATGTTTCTGCCAGAGACTCAAAAGGGTCCCTGTGGCCATTTTACAGCTAACGGTTGATTCCTTTTCATTACGCTCAACAGAAATATTAACAATTTTCGTTTTAAATTGATAATTTCTTTCTTTTATAGTTAACAGAAATGTTATAAACTGATTTCAATCCTTGAGACCCTCAATTAGATCTCCTCAGTCATCTTGCTTTCCTGAAAGGCAAGTAAGAGAACAGCCACGAACTACCCGGTGAAATGATTCATTCCTTTTCGTTTCCTTGAATTGACAGCAGCCTTTAAAAATTATGTCTTTTTTGTGCATCGCAAGCGCAAAATGTCAAGACGGATAATGGGGAGTTGTGGGAAGGAGATGTTTTATTAACCAAAATGGATTCGTTGTTTTAATACATACGAGAACCTTAAACTATTGCTGATCTTAGATTAGGAAACATACTTTTTTGTTAGGATCCCTCCCTACTTTGATCAGCACAGAAGATTCATGTTGCTTCTTCAGTTCTAAACTCGTTGTTGCTTTTAGTCAAGAGCCGCAAAACTAGCAAAATTCCTTTTCCTTTCTTCTTCATAAATTTCATATTCAAACGTATGTCGTCAACCCGTATAAATTCAGTTGTACATATAGAACAACTTTACGTAACATAGAACACACGCTCTATTTCAAGAAAAACCTTCGCATTTTTGCTTGAAGAGATCAACTTATGATGAAAGAAAAGATCCCGTATGGGAGGATTGGGGGGGGGGGGGGGGGGGGGGGGGGGGGGGGGGGGGGGGGGAAGTAGATTTCCGGCAAAGCCATTTACCGGAGGTCAGGCGCAAAACTTTATAATAAATTGTGGTACTTAACGGGCTTTGAAATTCGGCCTATCAATACTCAAAACTGTATTAGTCGGATCAGCGTTGCAATACAACTTGCCAACAATACAATACAAATTTCGACGGAACAGCATAAATGCAAATAAATGTCTGTTGAGATTAATTCTTTACAACCTATTGCAACTATTCCAGAATTAACTTGGTTAACTTATGTGTATTAGTTTGCAGAGATCAGTGAGTGATAAGAGCCAGCGTTGTTTACCAACCTGCATAACAAACACCACTTTATTCAGCTGAATGTTTTTACACTATGGACCTCACTGGCAATTTAATATCATGTGAAGAAAAAAAAATACATTCGGCAGACTTAGGTGGGGTAGCGATAGAAAAGGATTCCGCCAAACGAATTTACGGGGCATTTAGGTTTTATTACATAAACGATGATAATACAAGCGTGAATGATAAAAGCAATTATCCAGAAGAGTGAATATTTTTAAGACTACTTTGCTCTCGCTAGCTCGAGTCGATAAAAAACGCGATGAAAAATATTCAAATTATATTGTGAGGAGAATTATCCGGGTTAGAAAGGCTGCTTTCCTTGAGCTGCTCCGATTACTGGTGGATTAATCTCTCTGAATGCAGAGGTTCTCTCACAAGAGCTGTGAACAAAGACAAACTGAAATAATCAAGAAAATTTTCCGAACCCCAGGTTTTTTATTTGTGGTGCTTTTGCGTTTCCAGTCATCAGGTCATTAATTTTGTTCAAGGGCTCATGTCGAGGACTCTGCAATCTTTCTAAAAATTAATAAAGGAAAAAAACGACGCCTCTTAAAGACCAAGTGGAATCCTGCTTATTGCTGATGCACTTGATCGACTAGTTAAATCGATTATTGATAAAAACCTTGAGCCTCTTACTCTACAGCGAGTCCATGCAGCACTATTATTCAAAATGATTTGCACGGAATCTACAATAGTATAAATGCACCAAGAGATAACATGATCTCACCCATTTACAGGTCATATCTGTCTTTATCTTATAATTAAAAAATTGTTTGTTAAAAAGATTACTTGCTTTTAAGTAATTTTTAACAAGACGCGGTAAAACGAATCAAGGAACGTCTTCCGTTTGGAGTGTACGGACTTGGCAATTCAAGAGGATGGCAAAATTTTCTTTCATAAGTTAATCGATCTCAAACTAGGTGTTTCGTGTGTCTATTAATTACATACCATATTGATTAATCGGTCACGACTCATAATTAGCCCTAATAATGTCTGTGCGAGCAATTAACTATCTGGTCAGTTCTCAGTCCCCTATATCTAAGAGGTACTTCAAAGGTTTCTCAACTTGTATTTTTATCTGAGGAAGTTTTCCAATTTTAATTTCCAAGTTCTAGAGTTCACGACAGTTCTGAGAACAAAAATCGCGTCAGCAACGATTGCAAAGCAACAACAACAACAACAAAAAAAGCAACAGCAACAAGAAAAGCAACCAATTGATTACAATATAAGCTGTAAAACGAAAGCCGTTTTTTTTCTTGTAATTTGAATCCAAACTTTAATGGTATCAGAACGACTGGGATACAGGCTAATAAGAAAATTAATTCCATTGACAAAAATTAAAAAATCTGAAGTTTCAGATATGACAAAGGATTGTTATGCAAGAGTTTTAAGGAGTTCGTCAGCCATGAAGAAAGCACTGTTCCTATTTATTGACTTAAAACTTCACTTCTTTATATCGCGTTACCTATAGTGATGATCCGACAAATTATTTTGGGTCCAGTTCCGCAGTTTTGCTAAACTATAAGGATTAAATTAATATAGGCAGCTTTTGTTATTGTTTAAGAAATATAATATCGTTTCAGCGGATGCAAATTAAAGTTGTCAGATATTCCAAATGGGGAAAAAATTAATAATATCAATCACTCTCAATTGTAAAATTCATCCTTACTTTGTTTGTCTTCATTGGAAGGACTCACAATACCTAACCATTTCAGAGCACTAACCGGCGACCTATTCTCAGAAAAAAGAGTACTAATATAGAAAACAACGGCTATGATCATTTTTTCCTTTAGAAAAAAAAAATATATATTTATTAAAAAAAAAACAAAAACAAGGCAAGCCGCTTCATTTCTCGAAGGCAACATCGATGCATGGTATCTGATTGCGTCCCATTGGCGCCTTTTGCCTTTCTAAGATTGTCCACACACTGATAAGATTCCAGAATTTTGGAAAGAAAGAAATGATATTCATTTATTATATGGTTTTGAAGTTTAAAGTAAAAAAGGCTGTAAGATTATAATGAACTTTTCTTTCGAACTGATAATTTCTTTCAGCTATAGATAATGTAAAGTTCACACGCCTACAGTTCCTTTCAGAGGAATCTGGCTTTAAGCTTATGATATACAACAACAAGCTGAAAATAAGTAAGGATTAATAACAAAGGTTACAATGGGCAGCCTTTATTTTTGTAGCATTTCCGAATAAACGCGAAGCAAGTGTGGGCGAGGTCTCTAAAGGCTCGCTCGTTACGTTAGAAATTTCTCATTTTTCATTCAGTGAACCATCTTTCGAAATAATGCAGCCTAGAAAGAACGACAGACAGAACGATCAATGGTAATCTCGCTGATAGGCATTGTTGAACGCAGGAAGTCCACAAGCTAGTTTGCGTCGTCTTGTGCGGTCAAAAGATTAACATGAAAATGAAATATCGACGAGTTTCGTTCTCTATATGTTTGGTCTAATGTTACCCGGTGCGTTAAATCAACTACAAAGTTAATCATCTTCTGAAGCCATTGATACTGAAAATTGCTTACTCTGAAGTGCTGTGTTCCTCCAGAAACAAAGCATGCTTGCTCATTAACTATATTCTCTACCCTTGGAACATCCGCCTATAAAGGTTCTGTGTCAGCAAGTCATTTCTTTGTTCAGTCATATCACGTACCTTGGTTTGTACAAAAACCTTCAAACCCAAAAAAATTTAATTCAAAAGCGAAATCCATCAGGGATTCTACAATTAATTCAACTTAAATGTACAATAATCGACTTTCTTTTGGAAACTAATCATTAATCGTGGCAAAGCGAAAAAGGAAATTTGATATCTCATTAGCAAAGATCACATCTTGAAATAAACCAATACAGATGGGAAATTACTTTCGGCCCGAGAAAAGAAAAGTACAAATTGATGATTTTAACTTAAACACAGTCAAATAAAACATGTTTAATTTTATCCCATTGGAATTCATAACACTTATTTTTGTTGTTTATTTAGGAAAAAGAGAATTCGAGTAATTCTAATTTCAGAGTCCGAATATTGAAGTAGTGGTAGCAATACTGACATCTACACGTGGGACTATAAATATATAAATGTACTCTAAAGAAAAAAGCGCCAGTGTCAGCGAAGGTTATACAGAAGCAGGATCTACCCGACGAAGATGAAAATGACATCTAAAGTATTATTTCTTCTCTTTTTCTTGACTTTCCTCCAGTCGCATCGTTGCCATCCGTTACCAGCTCCAGAAGGTGAGGTTTTCAATTATAGTTTTGGTTAATACAATTTCCTAGCTCGCTTTAATAATTGTTTTCCACATGATTCAAGAAGAAGACGGCTTGTTAGGAGTCCATATGCTTATATTATGATCATCAACATTTTTTTTCCTTAAACCCCATCAAACTGTCAACTAACAGTATGTGTTTTAGTGGTGACAATAGTAATTTGCAAAAAGTGTAGCATTAGCAAACTGTTTACTCAGTCAATTTTGAATTAAGCACAGACTATTACTTTAATTGCTTTCTCCTCCTTTGACCAACAATTTATACGTTCTTGATATTGCTTTCTCAAAAAAGATGCATTTGGTGCAAATTTTTCTCTTTCGATTTTAGCCCAGTAGTGTTAAAGTGCAAAAATAATCTTCTTATGATTTAAACAAAGCGTTTTTCAATTTAAACAACTGGATTGAACAAGAGTTCACTATCTGCGAAGAAAATCTGAAATAAGGTTTACTTCACGAGAGGTCCATAAGTTTATTACACCGTTTATGGCCAAAGTTTAACTAAACCAGCATATATCATAAAAAATTTTTCTCTATATTTTTCCAGATGGTATAGAGAATGGACACGGTTTTGATGTTGTGGAGGTGCAAACGGTAGAACTCGCGGTTAATGCACTCAACGAGGAGTTAAATAGAGCCCCCTCTGACGGTATCGATGAAGAAGGTAAAAATCCCTTTTTTTCTGCTAATTTTTTTTCTGTCACGAAATCATGTTTATCCCGGAGCCTTGTAGAGAGTTGCGAAGGTGCTTCTTAGAAAGAAAACAAATATGCAACGAAATTCATGTTTCGTGAATAACGTCTATTTGAGATTGTTTTCGTGACTGAAATAGAGCGAATTTATTCGTATGACTAATATTAGTCTCAGAGATGACTTTGATTTTATTTCGCGAACTTGATTATTTCTTATGGCCGTCAATATCGATCACGTTACTTCTTTAGAGATTGAAAAAGCCTGAAGTTCCCGTCATAAATATTTCATCATTTTCATCTCATCAAAATAATTGCTTTGACTCATTTCCACGGGAGCTTAAATGAAAAGGAAAGCTTGAAATAATAAAGGAATCCTTTACCGAGGTACTGCTAAGGTGGTGTGAATGATAATATTTAATCAGATAACTTTCTAATCCCAGGTGTACCATATCCCGTACTAGCGGCTTGTTAGTTGAACTCTGGACGGTAGCACATAAACACTTAACAAGAATGCATCCAATATCCTCAGCCTGAGCACGGGTTTTAGACGTTAAATCTAGGCGCAATTATTATGACGTTGGGCATTATATGGCTTAAGCATTTGGCAAACGACAGTTATTCGTTTACCAAAACATATATCGTGGAGGAAACATTTTGAAATTCTACATATGTCTGTTTTGAATTTTTTCTTTCAAGAAACAAAACAAAAAAAAAATTATAGAATTTTTGATCGATTACAGCTAATTTGTAAGTGTCTGTTAGGGTTATATGCTCTCCGACGAAGGTGTGCCACCCCTTTAGATCTCATACTTCTACAAAAAAGTATTCACCTTATTATTCTACTTTCCGACATTTAAAAATTAAAGAGGACAACATGGATTATTTTCTTTCTCTTATAGTGAAAGTGAAGCTCGAAGCGCACGCAACGTAACACCACATCTTAACGAATTTGATAACCCATCGAGCTGATTAATTTTTTTAATACACCACGTATCTACATATATATGCAAGCCGAAAAAACGAAGTATCGCGATCTCTACGTTCCTTTTACTGTTGAAACCTTTGAGTCGTTTGAAAAATGCTGTTTTAAAATGAAGCTTTTCTAACCCTTTTCTGAAGTTCTATTCTTTTTTAAGACTTCGTTGTGATCTTGATTCTTAAATTCTGTTTTCAACACTGTCTTTTAACATCTCTCATTATCAGGTTTGCTAAAGACGCAAAAAACTTCTAATTTCATAAAAGATCACTGCGAATTCCTGATGAAATTAAGAATGATACGTCGGCCTTCGAGATTTTTAGAAAAAATTGTCCAAAAATACTCAGTTACCCAATCAAATTATCTTTTCCTAGAGCCTGGTAGTGAAGATACAGGGGAAGAAAGTGAAGAAGAAAATGAAGTGGATAGTGAGGACAGCAACAAGGAAGAGACCGTCGACGACGATGGAGTGGACAGTGAAAATGGAACTGAGGACGGTGGCATTGAAAGTAACGATGAAGATGGCGAGGAAGGCGGAGATGACAATGTGAAAGACGAAGGTGGTGATGACGGTGGTGAGGAAAGTGAAGATGATGATGGAGATAGTGCAGCAGATGATGATGAAGACAGCGTGGAAGATGAAGATGAAGACAGCGTGGAAGATGAAGACAGCAAAGATGACGATGGTAAGGACAGTGAAGATGAAAGTGGAGATGAAAGCGCAGATGATGACGCAGACGGAAGTGAGGAGGGCGAAGAAGACAGCGGAGATGACGATGGTGAGGAAAATGAAGATGACGAAGAAGACAATGGAGATAGCGGAGGTGAAGAAAGTGCAGATGATGACGGAGGAGACAGTGCAGATGACGAAGAAGGAGAGAGTGGAGATGATGAAGACGAAAGTAGCGGTGACAGCGATGACGGCGGTGAGGACAGTAGTGACGAAAAAGAAGAAGAAAGTGGTGATGATGATGGTGAAGATAGTGGTGACGACGAAGAAGAAGAAAGTGGTGATGATGATGGTGAAGATAGTGGTGACGACGAAGGAGAGGAGAGTGGTGATGAAGATGGTGAATACAGTGGTGATGACGAAGAAGAGGAGAGTGGTGATGACGATGGTTTGGACAGTGGTGACGACAGTGACGAAGACAGTGGAGATGACGATGGAGGAGAAAGCGGAGACGATGATGATGATGAAGACAGTGGAGATGACAATGATGAAGAGTTTGGAGATGAGGATGGCGAAGACAGTGGAGATGAGGATGGCGAAGACAGTGGAGATGAGAGTAGCGATGACGATGGTGAGGATAGTGGAGATGACGACGCTGAGGAAAGTGGTGATGATGATGGAGAAGATAGTGGAGATGACGATGGTGAAGAAAGTGGAGATGACGATGGCGAAGACGGTGAAGATGACGGTGGTGAGGACAGTGGAGATGACGACTCTGAGGGCAGTGAAGATGATGGCGATGAGGAGAGTGGTGATGACAATGGTGAGGACAGTGCTGATGACGACGGAGAAGAAAGTGGAGATGACAATGGTGAAGAAAGTGGAGATGATGACGTTGAGGAAAGTGGAGATGATGTTGGAGAAGACAGTGGCGATGATAATGGAAAAGAAAGCGGAGATGACTACGTGGAAGACAGCGAAGATGACGAGGGAGAGGACAGTGGAGATGACGACGCTGAAGAAAGTGGTGATGACGATTTTAAAGACAGTGGAGATGACAGTGGCGAAGAGAGTGGAGATGACGATTTTGAAGATAGCGGAGAAGATGATGTTGAAGACAGTGGAGATGATGCCGGAGAAAGTGGAGTGGATGATGGCGAGGACAGTGGAGCAGAGGATGGTGATGACAGTGGTGATGGGGTTGACAACGAAGAAGTCAATGTAAGCGAGACTGGAGAAGGCAATGTCGTCCAAAGAAAGGGAGGCGCGAATGTTGTGGATTTCAGAAATTATGGTAATGGTATCATTTACCGAGCCAAAAATGTCAAAAGTATCAAAGAACTCGTCAAAAACATCTTGAGAAACAATAGTGACGTTCATATCAATGACACTAATACGATCTTTAAGTTGTTAAACGTAACCGAATTAGAAGGGTCCAGATCTTCCGGCGTTTCTTGGTATAGTGGATTATTTGTCTATAAAGCCCTAGTTTTAGTAGCATCCTTTGTAGTTTTATTATGAAAGTGACTGAAATTGCACGATATTTATCTTGTGTCCAAGAGCAATGCAAGGAGAAGTTTGCGATTTGCTTGTAGCTAAGACAGAAATTCTTGCGCTAGAATTCGCCGAAGGTGTACCGAAACCTGTACAAGAAAACTGTTTATAACTTTGTGCGACTTGTATGCGAATAAAATCTTATGGACAAAATTTTGCTAAGCGACAAAAATCACCCAGGAGATTTGCTTTTTTTGTATAGAGATGTAAATATAATTATTATTAAAGTTGTTATGAAAAGTTTTCAGCGACTTAACGACGTCTTTTTTAGACCTTAGTCCCATTCCTTTTTTTTGGTGGTAATATCTGTTAGTCACGCAACTTAGCAGCCAGTCAAGCCTGTCTTTGATCGTTAGGGTAAAGGGTATTTTTGTAAAGTCCTGTAACTATAACGCTCACTCGTCACAAGATCTGATTAATGTTTGCATATTTGAAGATGTCTTTCATTCGCAAGATTGATAGTTCTAGAAAATTCGATAATCATGTCCGAAGCACTACTTTGACCTGTTCCTTCTTATGAATGAGCTTTACAATTTCCCCAAGACTCCGAAAAAAAGTGCGACGATTTACTCCCACCGACTGGCGATAAATAAATCTCGATTTGTCCAGTTTGCAAGGGGTGCTTTAAACATTTCCCTCCTCATAAATGACAATAGCAATAATTTTACTAAGCCTCACTTTTAAATATACTGCAATAGCCATAGAAAAGCCAGAACATTTTTTATTTCATAAGAAAACTCTACGCAGGGCAGGAAAAGAATTCATCCGAAATTGCCATTTAAGCTTAGAGACAGTAAACTTCCGTTCACCCCACAGCTTTTTGAAGCAGGATTTAAAACATCTGCAATATCCTTAGCACTCACTAAAGATTTCGATTTTCATTAAAAGAAATCGTTTGTAATTTTAGAAAAGCTACTGAGTAGAAGGCCCTACACCTCTGGGACTCCTTAGGAAAATAATGCCTCAATCAATTCGAAGTTTTAACATCCCTACCGGCATTTGAGCGTTCGAATATTGTCTTGTTCAAATTCTCCCCCCCTTCCAGGCAAAAATTCTGTTCAACCCAATTTTTATGTTAACGGCAGAATCAGCAACCTGGAATTTCTACTCCTTGAACAAGCTATGAAACCTAGACCTTGCAGACGTTTTCTTTTGAGCCATTTGCTCGCGAAAGCGAACTATTTGCCTAAAAACACCTCCATATTTAATGCAACAGTACTATTCCGCTGGAGAGACTTGACACTTCCGGTTCAAACTCCCCACCCGAGCCAGGCAAGGTTCAAATTTTCCACCCTGCGGGCACCAAAGAAGATCATACGCTCATTGGTTGTGTTGGAAGAGAGGGGATGGGGGAGAGGTTCAGGTTGATCTTCGTATTATACTACATATTTTCAGATCAAAAGTGTATTTAGCAATCGTTTAAGATACGTGTTTTAACCCAACTCTAGTTTGAAATTTAAAAAGAAAAACTTCCAAACGCTGTATTACACCCTCGCTCTCGGTGAAAAGGTATTTTTATGACTTCATGGTCAAAAGTACATCAGATTTCAGGAACTAATCATTAAACTTGTGCTCTTATTTTGTACTTGTCTTTTTTCTTCAATTCTCTTCATCTACCTTGATCGAGCGAAGCCTCATCTGAGTTACTCTCAGTTATTCAACTTGTTCTAAATTGAATGTGACTTGACCTTTTTATGCATTTTCGTCCCTAACAGTCGCCAACAATTGTTTTGCCATACCTTAAAAGTCATAAAGCACTTTTCCCAGGATTTATAGCGTGATAAATCCACTTGAAATGTACGTAGTGTAGGTGTAAATCAAGTACCCTTTGGTGAATAAACCGCACGCTTGTGTCTTAAAAATGAAAAAATGTGATCTACAACTTGCATCAATTATACTGCATTTAGCAAAGTTTCATTACTTACTGGTCTATTTTCTTGGAATATAGCATCATATTTATACAAAGTAAAAGGATTAGTTTTTAAATTATCACCTACTTTCATTAGTTGATGATTCTTCTGTTGGGAAAGTGTTGGTAGATAATGCTTTATGACGTTCCATCCATTTTTTCGCAATATTTGTTATTCTGGCCCCTTATTTTACCACCAACAATTTCCTTAACGCAACTTTTACTGTCATTTGTCGCAAGGAATGAGAAGAGCCACACTTCACGAATGACTCCACTAATTGCCCAGCTGTCGATTGTCAAGGCACGTGCTTGAGCACGTGAACAAGTGTTTAAAGTGAGTATTGTTGGTATGGATAGATTAGAGAGAGCGATCCTGAAACAGACAAAGGGAATCAATGGTGTTGACACTTACCTCTTAGTAATTTAGCTCCTAAAATAGATAGTGGACATTGCATTTTTTGCCACAGTTTTTCCTCAAGTTCTTAAAGACGGCTTCGACAGGAAAGTCCTCCACAGGGATGGATATACGTCAATGTTAACCAGGGAAAGTCAAGGTGTTTTTTCCTTTTCATAGCGTGAAAAGTAAAAGAAAATATTTCCAAAAATGGAGTGGGGCCAACTTAAATTTCGTATGGTTGCCACAGTTAATTTCAAAATTACAGAAGAATTGTTAGTTTCTCCCGGGATAACTGTGTAATATTAGCATCAAGTTCTTTTTATTTTAATATTGATTGATTCATCACATGAGCAGCTGAGAAAATTACAAAGATCTTAAATATCAATAAAATTGAAATACATGATAGAAGTCAATTTTGAACATATAGCACTTTATGTCAGTCGTGCCAAATTATTTTAATTTGGTTTTTTGTTATTGGAAAAGAACCCAAAATTTGCTCTTTTGCTCTTTTAATATAAGGCAAAAAAAAAATGAACTTAGTTCTTCTGTTTGATATTGTTTATTTTTCTAGACCCCAACAGCTAATATCTTGATTGTTGCTAATATTCAACAATCTCTGAGAGAGTGCTTACATCAGTCAAGTCCAAGATTCCGATGCATTTCTTACTTTACCAATAAACAGATATCGAAAGCCACAAAAATCTCAAACGGTGCTTTAATCAGTCATTGCTTGCATCCAGTGTTTTATAAATGTTATTATGTTTATCAGATGACACCATTTTCCGAATAGAAGCGAAACGACGGGTATCAAACATCTACAGATGACTTCGAAATTGGTTATTTGTTTTTGCCTTGTGACACTTTTAACTCCTATTTGGGGTTTACCATTGCTGCAGTCAGAAGGTAAGATTTTATTCTTTACAATATATTTTGACCAAATAATATTTCATGGCATTTGCTGTCAAATTCGTTGCGTGCACTGTAATGGCTGTGGTTCTTACAAATGGAATATTTTGTTGAAGGTGAATATTTTCTGAAAGTATGTTCACAGTAGGATTTGAACTGTCTTCTTGTTCGAGTTTCTTTGATGGCTTAAGTTCTCTTTAAACGTATTCATTATTACTTCGTCAGATATAGTTTATCATGAATTTCATATCCTAAATTTTGGTAACAATTTCTGTGTTCTTAAGTACCATGACACATATTGAAGAACTAATAAAAATGAGCCAGGTTATAATCACTCTATGTTACCGACCTTGCAATACATGTTTCGGCAAAATGAGTATTAACGCGGTGTTTGATGATTCTCACTGATTTATGAGGTAGATGTGAACAGGAAAATGTTCAATAAGTATAATGGGAAATATACACCCAATTAAGGGTAAAATTTTATAATTCCGTGTATCGATTATCTTTTAGCTGCCTACGCAGTCAGTTATTTTGTCAAGTTCAGCTATATTCACATGATATTTATTTCCCCACAATTTTACCGCAAGAACGGTGTAGTTTTCAGTAGATTTCCACGCTGCAAAATATAACATTGCTATCAGAATAAACCAGTATCGAACAAACAATGGAAAAACATAGCTGCTTATGATAATTAAAAAAAAACACTGAAAATTAACGGTTTGCTATAAATAATTTTTCGTTGACTTCTAATAAATGCTGTTTGATCCATAAGATACTCTTTTAAGTCTGCATTAACTCTAACAGCGAAGAAGATAATTTTTAAACTTTCAATTTGATCGTCTTACTCGTTCTCTAATTTTTCGAAAAGTTCTGTTTGTGCTTACTATGGCGCTTACTGTAGCATATTAACTCTAATTTGGAAACCGGCTCATTTTTGGTACATTAGGTTACCAGTGTTGTCTTCCATTTTAAATGGAATGAAACGCTTTCAATGGGGATTTGTATTGATCGTGACTCCCTCAAATTTCGGATGGTTTCGAGTTGTGTGCCATGCCTGGGTTCGATAAAATTTTAGCTCTAAATCTAAACATGGTTTAAACATGATTGCTCGTCCGTTCAAACATATTCGTGACAGATCTTTTCCTTCCCATTCCTCTAAAGGCTTCATAGGCAATTTACGCAGCGCTTTTGTATCTAAGTCCGGGAAAATTAGAAGAGAAAATTAAGGAAACATTAAGAGAGTACGTTAGTGAGTGTTAATTGAAAAAAAAAAACAAAACAAAACAAAAACTAGAAACTTTTTCAAAAAGTTGTTACATAATAGATTTCCTAAATAGTCTCTTATATTGTCAGTTACGGTTGTTGGGTCTGATATTGCACTTAACAGATAATAAAGAAAGTAAGAATAAAAATGGCAGCGATAGTGATAACTACGAGAAGAATTAAGAAATGAAAGGATGATAGGGGAGTAACTTTTTCAGAGTTACACTTTTTATGAATAGTGTAACATCAGCCGAGTGAAGTTTCTTTGTTTATACCGTTTGTCTTTCATTTCTTCTCCAGTGCACATCAAAGCCAGCTTAACCCTGCACTCGTTGACATTCGCTCGAGAAATCCTAAAAAAATACTGGCTATGGTCAAAAGTGACTTGGTCTTCGGCCTTAAGGTAATGAGAAACACAGAAAACCAATATAATTGATTAGATGACTCTAGATTCTAAAAGGAAAACTTGACACTTGCCTTACAAGAACAGCCATATTTTATAAGATCCAATTGTGCACTGACATATCTAGAAATCGCTGCTATTGAGATAGTTTCACGAATATTCGCTGCTTACAGAGCCGATATCATAACTGTACCCATTAAGGACGGCGTCATATATTTAACAATTTCAGTAATAGGTTGGTCTCTTCTAAGCATTTTTCGTGATCTGCTAAGATCTCGCGTGGAGTCATCCCCTATGCAATAAACCCAGGTGCATCATCAGCAAACTGTAGTCGTGCAGATAACCCAGGATGTCTATCCAGAAGCTTATGATCCAGAAGCTTATAGATTCCTCCATATTATTTACCAAGAAGCTAGGGTTTATAAACCGAACAATCAGAAGCTAGGGTGCAATTTTTGCCCAAATATGGAATTAGAGCTTCAGGGCTGCTTTCTTCATTTAAACTCGGGCTGATTACGAAGAGGCAGTGTCAACCTTACCTGAAAAACTGAGGCAGAATCACAAATTTTGTCGAGGAAACTGTATTCATATTATCTATTTAAAAAGAAAGTTAGTTGTTTGTGTCCTTGTTCGCTACAAAATGAACGGTGTTGAGTGTTGATTGCGTCTCCACTAGGTTAAGAAATTCATTAAAAGAGCTCTAAAATGGTGAATTTCAGTAGCTGGCGGCGAGTAAGCTGTTTAGCTCTGCTCTGACCCGCTCGCAGAGTGAAATACCTGTTTTTAATTCATAATAATCTCAAGCGTTAAGGAATTAAACAGCGCTTCAAATTATAACTTTACAGTTTGTATCCTTTTCAAAATATATGTGTTACCTTTCATAACGTATTCCCGATTAGTATCGCGGGAATGAGTCTCATTTCTTAGGTATTCAATAATCATTAAATATAAACATCTCCATATTAGGTAGTGAAATGTGATAAGCTAGTCCCGTGCTCTCCCAGCAGCTATCGGGAAATACATAATCACTTCTAGGTTGTAAGCTTCTGACCTATCTTACTGCTTATTCAGGGATGGAAATTTTTTTGTACGTGGCTCTCTCTTATACCTTCAGGCGGGGAGAGACACTGCGATTATCAACAGTTTCCCAATGATATCCCTTAGTGGACCTTGGCTCGATCCGTAACCTTTCAATCTGGAGTACATACACCGACTACTAGCCCTCCTTTCTGTAGTTTTGTTCTTGAGTAGGGACATTTTTAATTGTTATATGTTCATATCTGAAAATGTCAAGCGATTATTTGCGAATAACGTTTTTAAAACCATTGGAGCATTCAAAAGCCAGTCTAATGTGTTGCAATGGTTTATTATTCATAAATAGCGAAACCCAATTAATTCACCACTAAGTGAACACGTGAGCATTCCTTGTTTACTGAGTTTTAAACGTGTAGTAAATTTTAAGTTCTTTCTTGTTTATGTCGATATATTTCACTCAGGCTAATGATGGAACGGTTGAGTAGAGCCAATATCTGCAAGATTTTGAGAAATTGAATTTTTAATTAGATAACAGCAATTCATGTCCTCTTTTGATTTAAAACCACATGCAAAATTGTTACCAATTGACGGTGTTCATTGCTGTTACAAGTTAAAGCCGTTGTAAATTTCTTTTTACTTTTTAGAAGAGGAAAGTGACGTTGATGAATGCGATCAAGATGCTGGAGACGACATTGTTGGTGACATGAGAGAAAACAGAGAAAGTGGAGATGACAGTGGAGATGAAAGCGGTGAGGATAGCGGAGATGACAGGGAAGAAGAAAGTGGAGAAGAAAGTGGAGATGACAGTGGAGATGAAAGCGGTGAGGATAGCGGAGATGACAGTGGAGATGACGGAGGAGATAACAGTGGAGATGATAGTGGAGATGACAGTGGAGATGAAAGCGGCGAGGATAGCGGAGATGACAGTGGAGATGACAGGGAAGAAGAAAGTGGAGCAGAAAGTGGAGATGACAGTGGAGATGAAAGCGGTGAGGATAGCGGAGATGACATTGGAGATGACGGGGAAGAAGAAAGTGGAGAAGAAAGTGGAGATGATAGTGGAGATGAAAGCGGTGAGGATAGCGGAGATGACAGTGGAGATGACGGGGAAGAAGAAAGTGGAGAAGAAAGTGGAGATGATAGTGGAGATGAAAGCGGTGAGGATAGCGGAGATGACAGTGGAGATGACGGGAAAGAAGAAAGTGGAGATGATAGTGGAGATGAAAGCGGTGAGGATAGCGGAGATGACAGTGGAGATGACGGGGAAGAAGAAAGTGGAGAAGAAAGTGGAGATAACAGTGGAGATGATAGTGGAGATGACAGTGGAGATGAAAGCGGCGAGAGCAGCGGAGATGACAGTGGAGATGACAGGGAAGAAGAAAGTGGAGAAGAAAGTGGAGATGATAGAGGAGATGAAAGCGGCGAGGATAGCGGAGATTTCAGCGGAGATGACAGTGGAGATGAAAGCGGAGATGAAGATGGAGATGAAGATGGTGATGAAGATGGAGATGAAAGTGGAGATGGCAGTGTGGAGGACAACACAGATGAAAATGGCGGTGATGATGGTGATGAGGATGACGGTGAAAATGACAGTGATAAAGACGAAGGGGGCAATAATGACAAAGATAACGATAACGATGACGAAGGTGATGACAATGAAAAAGAAGAAGAAGAGGATGGTAACGACAAGGAGGGTGACGACGACAAAGGCGACGAAGATAACGACACTGATGGCAGCGATGGTGATGAAGATGACGATAATAATGGAAGCGATGATAACGGAAGCGACAATGATAACGACAATGGCGATGATAATGACGATAAAAGAGAAGAAGGAAATGGTGACGACGAGGAGGGTGATAACGACAAAGGCGACGAAGATAACGACAGCGATGGCACGGATGGCAATGAAGGCGATGATAACGGTGGAGACAAAGGTGGTGAGGATGATGGGGGCAATGGCAATGACGACAGCAATGATGACGATGATAATGACGATAATGGCGACGATAACGAGAGTGACAAGGATGATGATAAAGAAGACGGAGATACAGATGGCACTGACGACGATGATGGTGAAGAAAACGAAGATGATAACGAAGTAGACGAAGATAAGGATAGTAATGACGACGATGACGAGGACAATAACGATGACGAAGGTAGTGACAATGGCGACGGCGATGACGATGGCGACGGCGACGACAATGGCGATGACGATGGCGATGACGATGGCGACGACAATGGCGATGACGATGGCGATGGCGATGACGATGGCGATAACGATGGCAATGACGATGGCGATAACGATGGCGATGACGATGGCGATAACGATGGCGATGGCGATGACGATGGCGATAACGATGGCAATGACGATAACGGCGACGATGACGATAACGGCGACGATGACGATAACGGCGACGATGACGATGACGATGACGACGACGATGGCGATAACGATGGCGATGACGATAACGGCGACGAAGACGATGACGATGACGACAACGACGACGACGATGACGACGACGATGACGACGACGATGACGACGACGATGACGACGACGATGACGACGACGACGACGACGATGACGACGACGACGACGACGACGACGACGACGATGACGATGATGATGATGACAAATAATGCAGCATGTAAACAAATAATAATTTGCGCGGCAATAATATCAGCTCCTATATTAGCACTGTAACGCCTCTACTTTAGTGGCCATTTAATAAGACCTCTGGGAGTCGACAATTTGCTCAGCTCGCTCATAATTTTAGGTAAAAAATAATTGTTTTAAGACTACAGTTATTCTCTATTTGTGCAAGAAGACTGTTTTCATTTTAAACCCATGCCACTTTCAAAGTGATTTTAACTGATATACTTATAGACGGTCTGATAGTCATGGCAAAAAGCTCATAAGCATGACCTGTAAATATCTAACCCTCCATGAGAAAACATGTACTAAGCCGGCACGACTCTCGAGAGTTAGCCTTAGTCGATATACGACTAAGCAAGATTCTACATGACTAACATACTTTTTGACATTTAACAAAATGAAGGACACTGGACCTTTCATATATGGTTATAAAACGGTTCTTGTGAAAAAGAGCGACGATGGTGTTTTACTACATAAAATTGCAGAAATTTCCTATGATAAGATCGATTAAATTTAACTATTTACTAGATTTTCAAGTAGACTTTGTCAAGCCGTTGATTAAGCATTTTAAGTGCTCTCTTAAGTTAATCGCCTTCAAGGGTACATACAACATTATAATTTCTCGTTTGCCATTCAGAAGCTACGAGTTTCGATCTTAACTAATATCAAACTGATATCAATGGAATACCGAAATTACTCCTGTTTCGCAAAGGCTAAGATAATAAAGTTATCATAGCCGACATTGCCCTTTTGTTATTTTGTTAGAAGGGCCCTATATAATACATATACATTTCATGTCTGCATATCGATAGGGATTTATCTTCTCGTGTTCTTTCGCTCCCTCTCGCGCGCGAGGAATGTTATCAACAGTCTAAGGTAAAATCGTTATCCACCCGCGATTAGGATCTCTATCTACTATCCATTCAATTACGTTATTTGCAAGCACTGGAAAACGAAGAAACTAAAAAAGGAACAACTGACGTGGAAATGTGAAATTAAAACGCAGTAATCATTCCGTTACTACGGTAATCTATCGCTCAAAAGCTTCCCCTCATCGTCAAATCTTCTTTAAACCAAGGGATACACTCAATCTGAACCTTTCGAATACGGTTGAAAATACTGTCGTTTCAAAACAAACAAGCGACGGAGCGAAAATTCCCCTTCCACCAAGAACCGTACCCTGGTATTACAACCACTTAATCTCAAACACATCATTTTAGTTATCTAAGTGTTGCCCTGCAAAGATACTGTGCAAAATCCCCTAGACTTTGGCTTCGGCAACAAAGGAAAGAGGCCATTGTACAAAGGCAGCTTTTATGAGGAAGATGGGGTTATATGTTTAGGGTTACGGATGCATAAAAATGCCCCGCACATCTGGTAATATTATCGACGACAACAACACCAACAATAAGAAAATTAAGGTCGACCTCATAAGGAAGAAAAACCTTACATAGCCATACGGGGTAGCTATTCAAAACAGGACTGGAGGCGTTATGCAACTGATCTAGAGAATAATCAAGGGCAAGTTTCTAACAATGTCGTTTTATCGGAATTGGTCACCTATATGCAGTCGTCTTCCTTCTTCACCAATCATCTTTTGCAATACGTGCAAGTTATGCAATAGATAACATTGGTAAAGGTGCCAAGGACGCATCCACTGAAACCAGTTGCTGAACACTTGAATCTCCCTGATCATTCTAAGCAGCACTCGGTAGTCTTTCTTATCCAGGCAGTTCGGAAAGCCGCAAAATTATCTTTCAAATCGGCACTTTTTATCCCTACGGTATTAACAAACATTTTTTTAGTAACAAATATTTTTCATTCAACTGATTTATTGTTGTTTGTATCGTCACCATATTCCCACCAATAAGCAAACAATAAACACCGTGACGAAGGGCTGACGCTCGAATCGTCAGCCTATACACTCTTTGCGCCAATTACACTTATCAATCGATAAAACCAAATTATTTTATTATGCTCTCCTACCGACGCAGCACCACCGTTTCTTTAGAAACCTACCCTCTTTATTGTTTATTTCGTTTCCTTACAAGATTTATGTAAATGCAAGATTTAAAACATTTGTTGAGAGCCACCTTAAATTTTTATAATTGAAGCGGTTCCGAATCGCTTGTACAGTTTTTAGAGGTTACCGAACTCGTTTTCGAGTAACAGGGACATAAAGCTAAGATTAGAAGGCTGCTTGGAGGCTTTGGTAACCTCTTACGATATAGACATTATTACACATTTTGTAAAATAACTGGACATTTTTTGGACAGCATTGTTAAGTGAAAAAATAAAGTCGTGGTAGTATCGACTAATCATTCGAGGAACTGATGTTTAAAAACAGGGAAACCATTTTGAGCCATCTTGATTAGCAAGTTTGCAATTAGACTGAATCCGGCAACATGCATAAGCTGCCATGGCAGCTTCGTTTTGTCCACAGTCCATATCAAAAATACTAGGTGCTCCACTAATTTATCAGACAAAGCTTTGAAGTTGGACTTTCGAGCGACCTTCCTAAGCTGAACTGAGTGATTCATACGCCCTGTTTCATCAAGAGGTCTGGGTAAATTGTTCATGCATGATGGCTTTGCGGTAACATTGATTATGACAGACGAGAAAACAAAAAAAAAAACCATAATGATTTCATAAATGAGACTAAGCACGTCGAAAAGGATTTTCATGAATCTGCCGCCACTCCAATATCAAACAATGCGCCAGAAACCCACTTCCATCCACTAAAATAACAAACAGACAACCAAAGAAACAAACACAAACAAAAAGACAAAAAGAGTATTTTCGATAACCATTATTACTCGCTCAAGATCCCTGGATATTGGTTTCGTTCTTCTTGGGGTTTTGTTTGGCGATACACAGCACGTCACTTGGCCAATATCCAGCCATTTGAAGCTCACGTGTGTTACGCATGTTTCACAATTGTTTTCTTTGTGAGTCTAGTCCCGCATGCACGACTAATATTTCTGAAAACAATTGCTCAGCAGAGGCCTTAGCAAGTTTAACTCCAGTTTTTCATTTCGTAGTAAGAGTTGACCGAGACGAACAAACTTTTGGCCACTTCAAGAAAATTCTTAAACAGGAAAAAGTCTTAGTAGTCCAGTATTACCATGCATATTTACCATTATTGTTTTAACAATGCAGATCCATTTTTTTTCTCTTTCAGCTTTAGATTAAAGAGGACGTCAAAATATGGTGAAAACATAAGAAAATGGTTGATATTGTCCTCACCGCAACACTCATTTTGCTGTAATCAGCAAACTTCAACGTAATCGGTAAACTTTGAACATTAGATGCAAGACAAAGTGTAGAGAGTTATTTATAGCGTCTCTGATTTCCATAAGTTATGTAACTTGACTGATAAACGAGACCACGGAGGGACATATGACTGTTCCAATCGCTGACTTATATCGAAGACACTGGGTTGAGTTTAATGTAAGTTTTCGGGTGGGTTTGTTGTCGAACAAGTACGAGTAATCAAAAGATTAACCTAACTTTACCTAAGTTAAATAATAATCATTCAGGCATTGGTTTAGGCGTCCATGAAAAATTTAATACATCTGATAAGGCAAGGAGTTCAAGGGTCCGTTCCAGAGCCCTCGCTACTCTTAAAAAAAAAATTAATGCCGAGAAACATGGGGCAAGAGCATTTATTTTACTACTTCCAAAAACTTATTTCATTTCTTTCTTGACGCGGGTATTTTTCTTTCTTTCCTTCTTTTGTTATTATTATTTTTTTGAGGAATTAACGTAACATAACTTTTCGCTCCTGTGTGCAATAACTTTAATATGATCGTAAGCAAGGTGAAATCGTGAGAAAAGGGAACATAAGTGAGGTTATCTTGATTTTTATTATCTTTGCTAACAGAATATGAACGTGACTTTATCAGTTACTGTCTTTTCGTAAAGTCAGACTCCAATAGTGTTTATCTTAAAATAAATCTTTCTTTTTTGTAAGCGTATTACCTCAGCTTTGTTTAGTTATCTCGGTGAACAAAACCTTTCAGAAAAAAAAACTGAAAAAAAAGATATCACCTAATAATTGTCTCTTTTAAGCGGCGTGACAGTTTGAAAAATTAAAACAAGATGAGAGTAAATGTTTCATATTATTTGGCTCGAATAAATTCTTTTCTATGGTCCATTTAGGCTAATCTTATAATTTTTCTTGAAAACATATTACACATAGTCAAAAGGTTTTTTGAAATGCGCAGGTCGAAGAAGGTTCTTTCAATAATCTACCACTGATTTAATAGCTTTTGGAAAAAAATAATTTTTCTTCTTCTAAGATAAAAGGTAATTATGTTTCATTTCGCCTTGTTTTTTGTTCAAATTCAGCTTAGCCCATGTTGGTAAGAACTGTTCCCTCCATAAAGGTGCATTGAAAATTGGGTTTTTGGTTTTCCGGTTTTGGTAATTGCTCGGTCATTGTATTTCTGTGCGGTTTTCAGTTATTATGAATAAAAAATTTATAGATTATACAATTTTTGTCATCCCTTGCCTAGTAATAGAGCCTCTTAATTTCGCATAGTTGTTGTAGTCGTATTTCTACGAGCGAATGATGATTCAATTACTCTTCTATGAACTGTGTGGCTACTATCTTTCTTTCTACTGGAAAGAAGTTGAAGTTGAAGATCTGAAGCAACTAAATTTCTACCAAACGGATCAGGGTGGATTGGCAAACTATCAGCCGCTTTGTAACGCTAGGAGGTGAATAAATTTTGCACTAGCATTCTGAACTTCCTTCCTTTGCCACCAATAAGCTTCCTTCCCTCTTCACTCACAACAATGCCGTCACGGAGCAATTGTTGCTTTCTTATCTTTCCTCGCGTCTGGTTATATTTATGAAAGATCTAAGAAGGAAGACACTTCTAATAAGGTTAAAGGAACTATCGAGGAATTTTGGGCATGTTGACATCGTGTCGTAAAAACCTTCTGTTAGCCTCCCTTGGTGTTTATTGTAAAATCACTTTTTTACTTGGAACATGCATCATTAGCTTCAAAAGGAATTTCTATCTTTCTCTGCGGATAAAAATATTTTCGGTGGAAATACCAATAGGAACTGAAATAAAATAATTTTTCATTTCGAATTCAAGTCGTAACTGAAAGAGAAGTTTTTGAAGTATCGAATAGTTCTTGTTAGCATTTGAGATTATGCTGTTATTTTAATTTGACTTCACAAACAATAAATCAACATCGCTTTTAATCAGGGAACGTTGGAAATATTACATCTAAGTGAAAACAACGGCTCCCTAATTTTCTATTTGCTCGTAGAATTCTCTGCGAATCTCGGGATAGTTACCATGATTTTTCATATTAACTTAAAATTGAAATAAGCATTTCTCCTACCCAAAATTATTCATTTTTATGGACCAGAGAAATCACGGATGCAAGAAAATGTAAAACGTTTTGGTACACAAAACACACAGGGAAGATTGGGTTGCTTTTAATGAATTACTCAAATGAGGTCCATTTTGCAGTTGAATAGAAATAATATCTCTCCGGTTTTGCTTACGGTAGAAAATGGAGGATTGTGCTTCATTTTAGCATTGTTTCTTTAATTTTATTCATCATAACTAGCCTAACAAAAAAAGATAATGTTTTTGAGGAATTTTCGCTCAATAAACGTGTATTGAAATAGCTTACGAGCAATATTACGACGCCAGCCAACTTTTGTTTATTCGCAAATCAATAAAATAACTCAATTAAACAACAAAACTCTCAGTAGAACACTAATATGCGAGTAATGACGAAATTTTTGTATAAGTAACTCAGATATTTTCGGAGCAAATCATGATCAGTCAAAGACCAAATTTCAGCAGGTCTTGAGAAGTTTGCAGGATCTCTGTAAACCTTACGTGTCAAAGTATATTGCATCTCCATCAGCCTAAAACATAAGCAGATTAGCACTATCTAGAATTAAAGGGTTTGTTTGCAATTAACCTTGATACAGACCTCTAATTTTCAACCTGCTAATATTTACACGGAGAGTTACAAGTGGTCATGAGTTTTTCTGTTATGTGGCTCTAACGTAAATTTTATATTTTCACTTATGATCAGCTATTTCGTAACGCTAACTTGTTTTCCCTGCTAAACCACCGTGTAGGCTACACCGCAACACTCTGCGTTGGCGATTATTCAGTATTAGCAAACTTCAACAAGGTTTCCGGTTTCTGTCATGCTCTTACACCTCTCTCTTCATGTATTTGTTATTTTTCAACTGATATTGTGAAGTTGACAATTAGGGTTCAATGAAATGAATTGAGAATTTTACTTTAAGAGTGTTTGTTTTATTTGTCTATCTTGAGTTCCCCCTTACGTTCGTAATTTATATTAGATTTATGAAAGTTCACAAGAGTTTCGTTAATTTCGGACTCGATCGTTTACCATCCTTTCATGCGGCATTTTCGACGTTTTTCCTTTGCGGTCATACAAAGGAACAATTGTTTCTAGATTTATCACGCTAAGGTCGTGACGGGGCAATTCTTGCTTTCCTGTTACGCCACCGGTGTGAGTGTTTATTTCTGGTCGTTATAGAGTTAGCTTACTTTTAGCCAATACAAAACCCACAAACAATATCGTAAAGTAGATTCCGACATCACATTGACATAAAGTGCTCAATTACGGCGCTAACTCTCATTCTCCTCTGCTTACCGTCACAAGAGAAGTCTTAAGGTCGAAAAGAGAGCCGAAAAGATGAATTCAAGAATGTTGAAAATTTTCCTCTGCCTTGTGGCTTTGTTTGGTCATCTGTCAGCTGCTCCCTTACCAATGGAAGGAGGTAAGAATGAAATTTTAAAATAGTTATTACAAGTTACAAAATCGTTTTGAAACCGAAACATCCTTCACCAATGATTGTTCAAAATAATTAGAGTAGTAAAAAATATTATTAAAAAATATGGATTAAAATAGGTTTAGAGTTATTCCGAAGTGTCCTTACGGTAAGTCAAGGTAAATATGATATAACTCGGGCCAGTTGAACTGTGCTGTTTCATAGAAGAAAACTTCCGGTTTTATGTCTAAACCCGAGATGTTAAGAATTCAAACTGTTTGAGTGAAATGAAAGGAGGCTTCCTATCGATCATTGTGTACTCTTTGAAACTTTATAAGACTCAAGACATGTTTGATAATTCACTCTGCCTGATTCACAATCAGTAGATATCTGAGGGGATTATTTTCCGTGTCGGTAAAAAAAAAAATCGTGTGACTGGGAAACTAGGTCAAACTACCAATCACGCTTTCTTGCCGGCTTGTGAACGCTTTTTCTGGTTGATGAAGGTTTAAACATTTGCAAATAGTGCCCTTTAACGAAAAAAATGGGCAAAAAGAACGTAACTAGGTGCGCTCGGATCTGCCAATGCCATCACGCGATAAAAAATGACATATGTATGTCGGACTGATATCCAACCAGTTCATTTAGTTTCACATTATCGAAGAGTTTTATACGAAACAGATTGAAAATGACAAAAAAAAAGATTACTTATGAATTCTGTAGCGATAAGAAGCATTTTGATGTGAAATAGAAACGATTTTTTTCTTTTTGCAAGGTGGACGATCGTCAAATTTTTTTATAAAGATAACTCTGTGGATTCTGTATAAAGGCTTAACTTCGCTTGAATGAAATCTTTTATTTAAATCATTACGGTAAAAGTAACGTTGCTGCTGTTTGTTTAATCCATAAACATCCATTGAAAAAGTTCTTGACCAATAAAGTCGACCAACTTCTGGTTTCTAAGGAAAACCATGCCAGTAAAAAATCTTGAAGTGAAACCTAAAATAATCCTCATCCATACATCAGGAGGACTTGAGATAAGATTTCATTTTGGAGTTTTCTAGTGTGCATTCCACTCGCTACTGGGTAAAATTTCAGATCGTTAACAGTTTGTGATACAATAAATGAGTCACTTAAACAAAAGGATAATGTTTGTTTGCGGTCAATTAGTTAAACTACAAGCAGGTTTTGGGGCTGTGACGCAACTAATAACGCAATGGCGTGACGAAAATATAAAAGCGAACTATTGTATATGCTTATGAGCAGATATCATTAATATATACATAATGGAGCTCCTTTGAGCAAAGAATCGAACCTCTGATTAGAAGATTGACTGAAAATAAAATCTGCAAATAAATAGGTTGAATGGAGACCTTTTCTATACAAAACTTTTAAAGGGAAAGGTGAAGCCTCATTACTAAATGATCTCACTCATTTTGCCCAAATATTTATTTCAAAGTTCACAGTTCACATAATTTGTTGAATGACAAGTTTAAATTAGTGGCAGGCTTTTTGTAATGAGAAGTTTAAAATACCACCATTGACGTCAACGTTATCTGGGGTCCAAAAGTTCCTCCAAGTGAACGTTAGAAACGCAAAAGCGAATACAAGAAGCTTCCCTGCGATATTTCACTATGTATGAAGTTTGTCCAATAAGATAACAATGGTAAATTTATGTGAATATGAAAGCGATCTTCGCATTAATGAACACTACTTAAGTAATAGTCAAAAGAAGGGCTGGAAAAAACAAAAGTATTTTTTTCAGCCCTTCTTTTGACTACTACTTAAGTATTGTTCATTACCGCGAAGATCGCTTTCATATTCACGTCTTTAACCGCAGTTCAAATATATGACTTCCATATATTCACAACCGTTTAGTGGTAAATTTATTTAAATGCTAAAATGATCTAATAAGTGTAGATTTTTTCAAAAAGTCCTGTCACTAAGAACTCTCAATTAGATGGCTGAGTTAAATTTAAATATCATAACTGATTCATAACTTTTGGTTCCAATTGTGGGGTTGTTCTTTCGAGTCAAGTGATATGTCGCAACATAAAGCAATCACTTAATTATCGTTTAATCGCACCATGCGTATTATGACTCAAATCCATCTCGCCGAATTACATATCATGGCTCGACAGAAAATGGCAGATGTACCGCTGTGGCGTATCAAAAAGGTATGATAACATTTAAATCATGATGAGAGTCAACTAACATTCGTATAACTTTATCCTATTTTCATCAGATGAAGAAGAAGTAGAAGGGGAAGAAGAAGTAGAAGAAGATGAAGAAGAAGAGGAAGAGGAAGAAGAGGAAGAAGAAGAAGAAGAAGAAGAAGAAGAAGAAGAAGAAGAGGAGGAAGAAGAAGAGGAAGAAGAAGAGGAAGAAGAAGAAGAAGAAGAAAGTGGAGAAGAAGAGGAAGAAGAAGAAGAAGAAGAAGAAGAGGAAGAGGAAGAAGAAGAAGAAGAAGAAGAAGAAGAAGAGGAAGAAGAAGAAGAGGAAGAGGAAGAGGAAGAGGAAGAGGAAGAGGAAGAGGAAGACGACGAAGACGAAGACGACGAAGACGAAGACGAAGACGAAGACGAAGACGACGAAGACGAAGACGAAGACGAAGACGACGAAGACGAAGACGAAGACGAAGACGAAGACGAAGACGAAGACGAAGACGAAGACGAAGACGACGAAGACGACGAAGACGACGAAGACGAAGACGACGAAGACGAAGATGACGAAGACGAAGACGACGAAGACGACGACAAATAAAGAAGACGTGAGAGGGTCAGTCTCTCTTTTGACTTGGGCTCTCTTAGGAGTTGTGTTCAACGCAAAGAAGAGTCGTTAATTTAATTTTCGTGCATTTAAATCAATTTCCCAAAGTTGCATTCGCTTCATAATAATAATATAACGTCGTACATTTTCAATTTAGCTCTTGATTTCTATCTTCTTTTTTATCTGTTCAAATTTGATATTTGCTGTTGAAACGATAATTTTCATCCAGAAGATCAGCTTTTTGCTTAAGTTCGAATATGCTTCCTGAACTCTAGGTGAAAACAAAGCCCGAGATGAAGATTCCACTATTTATCCATTCCGTACGTATACCTACCAAACTGTATACTATATGCTTAGCGTTGTTGGTGATTATTAAAATCAGTAGCATTTAGAAATCTCTCATGACATGTTTTGATTCTTTAATTAAAGTCGTGGGAACTTCTATTATTTTCCATCTTGTTTCAGTATTACGTGACGTACCCTTAAATGCTATCCGGACCACTGTGCGTAATAACAACAGACATAGGATGAAATTGCAAGACAAGATGTATTTAAAAGTCAGATAAATTAACTGCCAAACTTTGAAGCTCTTAACCCAGTTTCCAGTTTAGTATTCTTCCACACATTTCCTATTCTTTGGGGACAGAAGCTAACACAGTAGAGAGGCAGGGGACACCGTGTCTAATTCAAGTTTTTATCCATAAATTTATCCTCTCACAGATCAGAGAATGGAGTGAGTAAATTTTCCTTCCATACCTAAGCCTCATTATATGACGTCATTCTGTAAGGTAAAAAGGTCTCGTGTTTTCTAGCCAAACATTTAGTTATTTATTTATTTATTTATCATTTACCTCTATTACATATTAAAAGGGGAACAAAGCTAATTTACATAGATAATACATGGGAAATATAAAATAGAAAAAGGAAAAGGCAAAGAAAGTCTCGAGAGGCCATGTAGGCTTATAGGTGAGGCTCACTCTTTAATCTAGAGTTTAAGTTAAACTAGAATATAAAACGTAATTTAACAAGTGTAAAATACTAAGGGAACTTGATTACTTAATATTAATAACCTTGCTGTGAAATTCATGAAGTATTTTGCATATTAATTATCGAATGAGGCAGAGAGTTCAACAATTTTAGTCCATGGTATAAAATTGCGAATTGTTTGATGTTACTTCTACAGACTTGAGGACGGTATAATTCAGCATATCTAATAGAATAATTATGAGTTTGGCTTCCAGTTTATAACAAGTTTAGAAAAGAGCGAGGCAAAATTTCACGGCGATACTTGTTCATGAAGGTTCCAACGTGAAAAGATTACAATCTGTAAATGTCAAAAATACCAAGTTTTTTGAAAAGAGGTCTACTAAGGCCCCTATCATCTGCAGCTAAAATTGTTCGAACAGCTCTTCTCTATAACAAGTAGATTCTTTTAACATTAGTGGGATATGTAGAACTCCATTGCAGTAGGTAAGGTATGGATAAACTAAAGAATAATACAATAAGAGAAGAGATTTGTTAGGTACGGGAAACCTTGTTTTATGTAGCATTCCTATTGTTCTAGTAATTTTTGTACAAATGTAGTCACTATGCATTTCCCTCGCAAGATGCTGGTCCATGTAAACACTTAAAAATTTGATGTGTTCAACTTCCTCAATAATTGTATTATTAAGGTCTAAAAATCATAATCTTCGTTTTTTCCGCATCAATGGACATCTTGACAGTTTTTAGCCACTGCGCAACATGACGAATTTTATCAATGAGGTTTCCACAAGAATTTAAGGATTTCGGTTTCAGTAAAAAGTGCAGGTATCGTCGGCAAAAAGTAAACATTAAGCATATCCTATGCTATTTGGGAGGTCATTGATATACAAAATAAAGAACAATGGGCCTAAAATGGATCCTTGCGGGACGCCACAGACAGGTCCTCTTTCGCATAAATTTTTCCCATTGACTTGGACTACTCGCAATCTAGTTGTCAAGTACCATTTTACCCAGTCAGGTACTATACCGGCTAGACTATGGAATTTTTTTTTTTTAAAGAATAGAGTGATTAATTGTGTCAAAAACCTCTGATAAGTCCAAAAAGACACCTGGAAAGAAATTTGTGTTATCAATCGCATTTGCTGTTTTGTTGATGAGACTTATCAATACACGTGAGGTAAAGTGTTTCTCTCCAAACCCAAACTGGTTGTTAGACAAGATCATATTTTCGGTTGGATACCTTGAGATACGATATATGCTATACGTATTATATGTGGCAGTAGGGTTTCAGAAGTAACTTTCATCTCATATCGTCAGTGAATAACTAGGGATATTATTAATAACTCAAATTCAATAATTTCAAATAGAAATATTAATTCAAATACAGAGGAGAACTGCCTTCCTAAAAATTGTCAACCGTCAAAGCTGTCCTCCCAGGGAAACCCTCATAGTAACTCTACATTATGAAAATAAGACAAAAATACCAAAAGGTTAACTTTCATTTTGATTGAAACTAACCGCTCTCCGCAGTCCTTTATTATTCGATTGAGGTATTTAAAACACAAGTACCAATACAAATAATTGTTTTCGTCTAACCATTTTTTGAAACGTGGGAAGAGAAAAAAAATCTACGGTTCATTTTATGGCTATCCGTAGCTTTGATATTATGTAATCATACATGTACGAGCACCTAGGAGGCTTGTGAATGAATAAATCTATCTTATCTCTTACCTTATCTGAAATAATTTCATTGAAACCACTTTATAAATTACAACCTTTTTATTTTATTAATAATCCTCTTCTGTTTTTTGGTCTCATTTTATGGGTCTGCATGGTAGCATTAACCAAGTTTTCTTTTGCCACGAGGTAATATTAAGGTATTCAAAGAAAAAAAAGGTTAGTGGCGATTTATATGATATTATAACCAACACATTTATGTACTTCCGCTGCAAAAGACCAAAACATCTTAATAATCATGAAATTTCTGGAATACCTACGTACAAAAAGGTTTGGTCAATTTAACTCCGCATAAACCTATTCTTTAATTATTTTTGAAACAAAAAGTCACGGTTTATAAATGTCAACAAAGTTTACACAAAGCTGCGCTTTAAACCGTTTATATTTTTTGTATTGCTAATACTGGAAAGACAATTACTTGTTTCAATTAAGTAACCCACTAATAAAAAAATATCAATGGAATGGTCAGACTTGGCTAGGTGCGTTTTCAACGTTTTGTTAACATATTAATTGCTTTTCAGCTTAGTTAACCCAATATATCGTTCCAACACACTTTAATCCACACCGCTGCTTGGTAATGTAGTTACAAAAGGCTACATTTTCACGGCTTCCCACTCTTCCATTTTCATAGAATGTGACAGAGTTTGCTTGACTTCGAATTTTACAAATGTATATTAAATTCAGCATAGGAAATATATTTCCTGCATATCGAACTCTTATACTCTTTATCAAAATTAATTAGGATGATCGGATATCGTCACATTTTGAGGGTTTTTCCTCTTCCTTCACAAACATGATGACGTCTGCCCGAGGTACCCGAAAAAAGATTGGATACTTTTAAGCAAATTCTTACCTTTAGATGTCTCTTGGTTACAGAACTTCTCTGCATTAAATTGCTCTCGCTTTCGCTTCTATAGGCGATATTCATGCATTAACCTCTACTTAATATCGTCTATGTGTCTAGAAGGATACTTCCGCGAGCATCGATGGAAACATGTTATCGAAACACTCTTTGTAGTTAAGGAAACAAAACAATACTTGTGGTTTGCTAGGAATGTCTTCGACTCAAGATATGTGCTCCGCGGTTCAAGCCATAAGTGATCAACCATAAAGTTAGCCCAAATAAGAAACCAATTTAAAAAGTGTGAATTTCTATATAAAGATAAGCTCCAAATAGTTCAGCTGGTGTTGTTTAGATCGCGGTAAATCTGAAAGTCTGAACGTCTTCATCCCTATCCTGAGTTACATGGTCTCTTATACTGAGCCTGAAATTTTTATTTTCACTAGAATGGTAAATTTTTGTTTGATATTGTGGGGGATCGGATTTCTCTATCAATATTGAAAACCACAAACGATGATTTCAAATTCTTCTTGACTTCTCTTATGTAATATAAGTGTACGAGGGCCTGGAGGGAATCAGTTCTCCCTGTTTTCCACCGAAGACGTGATCTCCAGTGAAAAACCTGCTGCTTAAAAATGGATTCCAAAATATTCATATTTCTCTATCTATTGGTTATTGTGGGGCAGCTTTCATGTGCTCCTTTTCCTACCGGCGAGGGTAAGTTGTAATTGGTTTGATGCAGTAAATGTTTGTAATCTTTTTTTTAAAGACAATGATATGTCAAAGAATATATCATTAATGATATGGGAAACAAGCTTTTTGATCTTACAAAAATTCGATGACACAACTGCCTGAACAGTCAAAATTGTTAAATTTTATCTCAATACAGTCAGAGCAAAGTATATCAAGAACAGAGTCTTTTTAAGTTTTTCTTGTTTTATTCTCTTCTCCGTTCTCTTCTACTTTATAAAACGTTGGAATATGTTGTCTATATAGGCTCTCTCCATTAAGAACTGCATGATGTCCACAACTGTTCTCCAGCGATCAATAACATCGCATTTTGATGACATTTAACAAATCCGTTTGGTTCGAAATAGTTTTGAAACAGTTTGGTGTACCGCAGGAAGTTTGTTAGGTCTCTACCAAACCTCTTTAATTAAAGAAACATCGAAGGAAAAAATTACGGAAAAGAGCTAAAAGGAGCGCTTTATTTATCTTTGATATTTTTCAACATCGAACAGAAAATTCGAATTCTGAGTCGGTGATAAAAATTGTTACATAAAGATGTATCATGGTAGTTGGAAAATTTGCAAGACCAAATTGAAAATAAACGTAGCTATAAATAAAATGACGGTATTACGAAAAGTATCACGATTTTTGGTGTGAACAAAGTAGCTGTGTAAAGTCCGATATAATTTGATGCAAATGATATTATGGCGTTGAATTAATTTAATTGATAGTAAATTAACCTCATTTCATTCATTTACTCTTGTTTTACTTTTTAAAACCTTTTTGATCGTGATACAAGTAACTCAAAAAGCTAATGAATTCGCCAATAACATGAAAATCGTGTAGATAAATTTGAATGAATAAAATCTCCGAACTGTTTTTCGCATTTAAGAGTTTAAAACTTGATAAATTTGTATGTTGCCAACACTTTGTAGATCTGCCAAACAATTGATCATACCGAAAGCTCAATAGCTTAACTAGCAGAAAATCGACTTGGATGTCGTGATCTCAAATTAGAATCATTCAACCAACCAATCGATCAATTAACCAACTGGTCGATTGATTGTAAATCAATCAACAGATATAAATGAAGACAGCCTTCATGACTAATAAAAGATTAAATAGGTGAATAGGAATTGAAAAAGTGTGAAGGTAATAACGATTATTTCTATTCTTTAGAAAGCATTAATACGTTAATGAAGATGGTAATTATTTTGCGATATGAAATTTTTAATTTCAGACGAAGACGATAGCGGAGAAGAGGAGGGCGGGGAAGAAGGCGAAGAAGAGGAAGAAGGGGGAGACGACGACGATGATGACGACGACGACGACGATGATGACGATGACGATGATGATGAAGAAGAAGACGACGACGATGATGACGAAGAAGAAGGCGATGACTAAAATAAAGATTACGGAGACTATGAGACGCTAAAAGACTAAATCAGTTTATGATAGAATACAAAATTTGCCACTACAACACAAAACAAACTAATGGCTTAAAGTCGATTACAAGGTTTTGTCGAATATTCGTAAGCCTAGTTCAAGCAATTGCCAATAAAATCATAATTTTCTGTAAACAATTGTTGAACGATTCTCTTCATATAATTATATCATCTGTATTACCTTATTGCTTGTCATCTTTAATGAGAATCAGGTTACATAGTATAACGTTCGCCATAAAAGAAATAATTAATTAAGTTACTAGTTACGTGTTTCAAAAAATATGCTCAGCACTCGGCCATGGAAAAAAATAGAAAAAAGAAAAGAAAACTAAAAGTAATATTTTGAAACACCGCAACAGCTTACACTATTTTCCATGAAAATTCGAATTAGGAGAGAATAACATAAACGACGATACTGATAGTACCTATCGAAATCATTACTACGTTATTTTGTCGTCATTTACAAGGAAAAAAAGGAGCAGAGAGGGATGGATTGGGTGGAAGAGGGACGTGAACACAAAATAAGCCACATACGATGGGAAAAAATTTTGCTATAACAAGTACATCTGATTTCTTTTCCTCCCATTTAATTTATCGACAATGTCATGATTCTAGTTTGTCAATCTTTGTTGATTGATATATTCCTGTGAACAACGTAGTCGTCATGCCCATCTAAAATATGGGGTCATTATCTACAAAGAGACGGCGAAGTCACAAACAGACCTTATTCCGCTGTTGTAGATTCTTAATATGTTGGCTTTGCATAAGCGCATTTTAATTTCGTAAGCAAATATTGGCGTTTAGATGCTGTCTGTACCACCTCAGACAGATGCTTGTTCTAGGGAAGTTTTATTGAGTGATTAATTTAAAACGAAGGTAATATTTCGGAACTATTGCCTGTACCCAAATGCAAGTCTTCAGAGAGATTCATGCACTTTGTCTCGGGAAAGATCATGAACGATTTCTTTCATTTCTTGCAGCCTTATGTGTGATAAATATCCAACCGAACAACATTTTCCTCTTATTGCATCTCTACAGCTAAAAAACATTCCTTAGGCTGCGCTGCTCCTTACAAACGATTCTTTTCTCAGTGTCAGAAATGTCTGCTGTTCTTGCTTGTCTGACTCTTTAAACCGTCATTTCGGCGTCTTAGGATATTCTGTCATTCTTCTTTTTTAGCGTATTCCGTTATACCATCATTCTGCCAAATGGGGTCCCCAGTCAACTCATCAAACGCGCGAAAAACAGACACTTTCGGTCCGCAGAGTATGACTCAAGGGTACCTGCGCCAAATGTCCTTGTTTTAAATATCGGGATAAAATGTGTATTTGTCGGTACCGCATCAGCCTCAAGGCAATACAAATAAAAGTGTACATCGTGCTTAGGAAAAATGTGAAAATTTGAAATATCATGACTAACGGTTAAAATTTGTCAGTTTTTACGCCCAGCAGCTAATTTTTTTTTTGCCGTCTTTCGGCTAAAGATTAACCCCAATGAGACCCGCGACCATCGGTCGATAAACTGACTTGAGTTTAACAAAAGCTATTTGAAGTAAAATTATTGCGGGTTTTCTTTTCCAAGAGACAGCAGAGGTAACTCCTTGTTAATTCTTGTGCATACCAGGTGCTATTAAGTAAGGTGCTCCATTCGCAACTGGAATAGCTTCCATACTGATATCCCTGATGTCCGGAAAGATTGACTTAGCGGCGAATGGACTCTAGCTGTGGTGCAATCAGTATATTAAAAACTTCACGAAGAACGTGAGCTGAGGACGTTAACAGCAGTCTACTTTTTGAAAAAGGGAAGGCATATTTAGTCTGTACCTCTTGTCTTCAAATGTGCAAAACACAACAACATAGAGAGCAATGACAGCTAAAAAAAACATCAAAGCTTCCCTGACGAGTTACTTAAAATTCGAGTTTAACAATTACGAAAATTTGTCACAGATAGTGCACAAACAGTTCATGAAAAATGCAAATTAAACCAAAACATTGTAATTGCTGTAAGGAATAAAATCCTTCACTCCTGTACTCTTACACGGCCACGATGTGATTTGTTTACGATAAGAGAAGAGTGCTTTAAGGAAGGAGTTAGAACTCCCTCTTATATTAAAGTCTCACGGTGTAGCTTTTGAATTATTTTAGCTTCTTCTGGGCAAGGGCGAAAAGGGGGCCTTCCACCTAAAACATAATGCGTCGGAATGATCTTCCAGAATAATTCTAATTAAATTTTTCCTTTAATGAATATGACCTTTTTGTCTGCTACTCCCAAATATGATATTGCACGCGACAATGCCTAAAGTTAACTTCATCCGCCGAATATTACATAATTAGTTTCAAAAATGCCCATCTCGTTTTCTTCTGAAGCTCATCACAGAAAACTGTATCATTCAGATGCCAAACTTTCAGAGGTCTGACAATCGTGATTTAGTAAAATTAAAATGATAAAGGAAGACATGCTTAATTGATGTTCAAATTTGAACTAATCTTCATCGACCTTTTACGCTTCAAAAGAAACATAAAAGGTGTTTGAAAACAACTAAAGGCAAATGGCTATACAAAAACCTTTCTCCGTAACCGCCAAAACCAGTTACAACTCGTAGCACTCCTGATGAAAGGGAACTAGCGACTGGTTTTGCTGTTATTCCTTACATTCAGGGTGTTACGGAACTCATCAAGAGAATTTTGCATAGCCACACTTCAAAGTTGCCCAAAACCTTTTCAGACTTTGGGGCATATTTTCGCCAAACCTAAGGATCCTGTCACGGAAGAACAACGAACCGACGCCATTCATTCTATTCCTTGCAATGACTGTGACAACGAATACATCGGACAGACCAAACTTCAGTTTGGTACACGTTTGAAAGAGCATCAAAAACCGGTTTTCTTTTGCAAAAAGGAAAATTCAGCTTTATCGGAGCACACATGCCCAAGTAACCATACAATTGGGTGGGATAATTCTAAAATTATCACCAAAATTATCAATCGACGTGACCACAACGCCTTTGTTCGGAGGCTTGGTATCTTAACTCCGCCCACGCTCCTTTAAATCGTGACGATGGCGGCTTGCTTCTTGACGCCTACTTACACCGAGTCAGAAAAAGGCAGCTAATTAGTGATCATATAAAAGAACCTCCTGTTGCAGCGTTTAGATCACCCCTAATGAAGGCACTAGACAGGGGTGTCGAAACGTTGGGTCTATGCATTGTAACTTCTTCGGTTACATTCATAAACCTGTAAACCAGAGTAGCATCAAACCATGTCTGACGGCCCACCGTGTGAACTTTAATATAAGCTATTGATATTTCTGTCGCGGTTGACAGGCCTTATATCAATAAAAAATATAAAAAGCAATATATGCAATTTTTTTTCAACGGCGTCCTTTTCTTCCTTCCATTTCCCAAGGAATCATGGCGCCTCCTTCAAACGCATAATGATTAATGAATTATCAGTTTGAGTCTTAGAGTCATTTTGTTTGGCTTTCTTTTTTGGTTTGTTTGTTTGTTTTTGTTTTTATTCATTTTTCATTTTTAGTTATGGAGTTTTGTTTTGTTTTTCTCTAAAAATTGAAGGCTCTTCAGAGGTTCCGAGTGCTTGCTCATTGACATGCAAACAAACAAAAGTCTGCTGGATTCACTTATTCATCCCACACCCATTTTGCCCGTGGCGATCACTATCGTGCTTCAAACAAGTCCTTTCTAGCAGCGTCTTTCGTGTACGATCATTGAACCAAGACTTAAATTTCATAGACCTTTAACGATGCGTAAAAAACTGAAGAAAAAGTCATGCAAATATTTAAGATGTCACTTAATAAGATCAGAGTCATCCTATAACATCTAGTGCTCCTTTTATTTGTATTAAAAGTGCTCATGCGTTCTAACTGGAGAAATAAAAGAAGTTTTGTTTGGCAAAGTCGTTTTCAACAGCATCAGCTGCTCATTAAATGAATTAAATAGAGTGTATTGTTATCTTTTCCATCCTTGCATAGCGAAAGTGATAAATCGAGAACGATATTTCGTGGTCGTCGATGGGGAATACGAGTAACACGAGACTATATGCAACCATTGAGCTCCAGAAGAACAGAGGAGGATTCCTTGAGATCGTTTTTACCTTCTCAGCAACCACCTTAAAAGTTCAAAGTCAGGGAAAAATTAACTATTAGTCAATATTATTATGTACGCCCTAAAATAATTCTAGTAGGACAATCAAAACACTAAACTGTGAATGATATATTGGACCTGGAATTTTCAGTATTTCCGTTTTTTCCGTCTCAGAGCCAATTGGAGGCCAGAGCACTTTTTCTTGGGAGCTTTCTGGACCATCAAACAGTGATAATGAATACATTATTTGCATGTGTGACAGAGAAAAACAAATAAAATTACGGCTGGTTAAAATGTGTATAATGAGACTAACATGTAGCATATTTTGTATAATGCACTGGAGAAACACTACTTAATTTAAATAACGTTCGTATTCATATTTTGGTTGGTTAACCTTTGAAAAATATTCCACTGAATTTGTTATCAGCCAATATTGGACGCTAACGTTGCGGTCACGCTAATTAGCGGTTTTTCTTTGCATACTTATAGGACTCTTTCTCGAAAACTATTCTGCACAGAGGCATCATCAAACAAGCTTTAGCGAGACAGAAAGGATCAAAGCTCACGAAATGGCTTCCAAAGCGTTCGTTCTGTTGTGTTTCCTTGCCCTGCTAGGGCAGCTGTCTGGCTTTAAGTTAACTCGACGTGTTGGTAAGTTTAAAAAGACTAACAGGAAAAAAACCAACAAATAAAATAGGTAATTTATGATAACATGCCATTCCTTAAAACAGACCGATAGTCTGCCACCTCGCTCAAGCCCCTTTAATGAAGAATCTAAAGAGGTTGTAAATATCTCACTGAAGAAAACTTGACAAATGAAAAGAAAATCTGTTTAAATAGCATCTGTATTGTCTAATGTATTTTGATTGCTTCTAAAAACAAGGAAACACTCCGAAACGCTCTTTGCATGCGTGTTTGCATGTGTGTGTGCGGACCGAGTAGGCAAGGCAAAGGAAAGCCAACGATAGCAATTGATACATGCTCAGTTTTCCAGCTGCTGCAGCCTCCATAAAGCGAAGCTTTTCAAAACTAGATCTAG